AATGTTTTACAGTTTTAAGAATGATAAGTGTTGCCGTGGCATTTATTATTTGATCTTGTACTATTTGTGTTCTTTATAAAAGCATCGAAAGCATTGTTTTATCTTTATAACACAGAATACAGAATATTGTTATATTGACTTCACATACATCGTGCTTGGATGTCTAATTGTGACTAAAGCGAAATATGGTTGGTTGAAAAATATTTTGATTGACATTTTATCCTATTGAATTTTGATTGGCATTTTATTCTATAACTAGTGGCCCGCCCTCGCTTCGCTTCGGTGTAGAGCTGTAGTGCAGACTATAGATTTTGTTCTCAGGCGTGCATTGTACACATTGAATTTATTTATTTAATTCTTTTTTTATGATTCTTTTTTTATTGAATAGGTAATAATGTTAACTTTTTTAAATTAGGGATGAGTGAGAGTATTATAAACGTAAGAGTAAACAAATATAATCAGAATGCTCCGAATTGCTAAGCTATCAGGAGTTACATGTGTTATTGTGAGTCAATCATAAAAGATAGACATATGCTGTTGCAGGATATTTTTTAGACAATTTTATGTAGAATATTTCCGTCATACATGATTTCTATGTAACTTTAACCATTAAGGCTGCGCACGCGACGGAAGCTTAAAAAATGGAGTAACTTCTCCCGTTTTCCCAACATTTCCCTTCACTACTCTGCTGCTATTGATTGTAGCGTGACGAAAAGTATACTATAACCTGCCCAGGAGTATGAAGAATAAATGTACCAAGTTTCGTTAAAATCCGTCGACTAGTTTTTGTTTCTATAAGGAACATACACACAGACACAAAAAATTTACTGATTGCATTTTTGGCATCAGTATCGATCACTAATCATCCCCTGATAGTTATTTTGAAAATATATTTCATGTACAGAATTGACCTCTCTACAGATTTATTATAAAGTACAGATTGACATTATTAATCGACTATCTTATTTTGTTAGCTATTTCAATAATTTAGATTGGCATAAATGAAGACTAAACTGACAGTTGTAATTTTTTGCTGACGATAATATAATGTGATTCGCTTTTTGTAGTACTTTAAGAATTTATTATTGGTATGTGAAATTGATGGCTTAGTGAAAATTAATAATATTAATGTAATTAATGCAATTTTAAATATTTGCATGCTATTTTAAATGGCAGAATGGGCCGAATTTTATATTAGTAACATCTCCAGTGTACCCCTATTCTAATGCAAATAAATAAATTCTAATGAGGGCTATCGTTTTTTTTTTCACCAGATGGCGCCACTGTTGAGTGAGGTCCTGAAGTGTAACTTTTAAAGTTAGTAAACACGCTCGTGATATCAAAGTTTACATTTTAATACAAAAGAATCGTATCTTAAACATAATCGCCCATGCCACAGTCCCGTTTTGTTCGGAAAAAGGAAGGACAATATTTTTTCTTAGCTCCGCTTTTAAATAACTGACAATCATTGACATGTAACTCATATTTGCCATAATAAGTCTGATTTATTACCAAATATTCACAACTATTATTTTAATTAGAAAAAAACCGCGTAGTCAACCCGCAAGCTATAACATTTGACATTTCGGAGACCTCACGCAACACAAGCGCCTCTAGCGGCGGTTTCAGACGCGATAGCCCTCATTCTATTGTGGTCATGCACCACAATTTAAGCGGATCACTTTAGTAGCCGTAGAGTACCGTATTTTCCCTTTTTGTTTTAATCTAAGCCTACGCCATAAAACTTTGCGGGTCGAAATACTATACCAATCTTGATATACCCACAAAATATATGACTATAACTTTATAAGCAATATCACAATTCAATATTAATACTAGATTGAATCAGATCAAGTGTCTTGTTTATATAGTATTCATAATAATTACTGTTATAGCCAGTGTTGCCAGGTCTCCAGATTTTACAGGAGATCTCCTGTTTTTCTGAAATTTCTCCTATTCTACTGTTTTTCTACATGAATGTCCTGTTTTTTTAGAATACGATTTTCTTTTTTAAATTGCATGTTGAGTTGCATTTTTCGTCATTAATAATGTAGATAACCTTAATAATTATAAAATAAATGTAATTGTCTAAAGAAAAAATAGCTTTGAGGGGCGGCAGAAGCCACAGAAACACATTCGTTACTGGTCTTTATCTTGATTTGATTTGGGGGGGGGGGGGGGGGGGGTGCAAATCGGAAAAAGTACACCTCTGCATCTACTCTTTTTCTTGTAGCTCTTTCCATACATCTACTGTTTTTTTCTATAACGCCTCCCGATTTTTGAAAATCGGACCTGGCAACACTGGTTATAGCCCAAGCGGGGATTTAAATCCGGTTTCGACTCTACTTCCAATACAGTCACTATTCTAGAGTTGACATTAAAGGAGAAAAATGTATAAAGCGATTCAAATAAGAATAGGAAAGCCAATGACCTCCATCTGTCAAACGTCGCTAGAAAAGTACGGTTTGCAAAAAAATACTTGGAACCCTTTTTTAGCACTCAGCTAATTTTAGAATAAAAATGCAAACATTTGTATACAATCAATAACAAATATTGATAACTAGTGGCCCGCCCTCGCTTCGCTTCGGTGTAGAGCTGTAGTGTAAACTATAGTTTTTGTTCTCAGGCTTGTGCTATAAAGAATGACTTTATTTATATAATTACACGTGTGAGTCAACCATAAAAGATAGACATATGCTGTTGCGGGATATTTTTTAGACAATTTTATGTAGAATATTTCCGTCATACATGATTTCTATGTAACTTTAACCATTAAGGCTGCACCCGCGACGGAAGCTTAAAAAATGGAGTAACTTCTCCCGTTTTCCCAACATTTCCCTTCACTACTCTGCTGCTATTGATTGTAGCGTGATGAAAATTATACTATAACCTGCCCAGGAGTATGAAGAATAATTGTACCAAGTTTCGTTAAAATCCGTTGAGTAGTTTTTGTTTCTATAAGGAACATACACACAGACAGACAGACAGACAAAAATTTTACTGATTGCATTTTTGGCATCAGTATCGATCACTAATCACCCCCTGATAGTTATTTTAAAAATATATTTCATATACAGAATTGACATCTCTACAGATTTATTATAAGTATAGATTAATATTGGTTGATATTTTCTTTCATATATTGAGCTTTGACTATGAATGGTTGATACCTTAATTCGTCAATCGTCAACCAAACGTCGCTTGAGGTTGCGTTCGTAAACTCGATTTATAACTTTCGTTTTCATAAAGGATGCATGTTCGTATGTGACCTAGTAATAGTGCATGATTATTCATAACTACTCCGGCGGTAATGCAGAGATGAGCGGAATTGAAGAGCTAGATTCTGATTAATGTTTTTTCTCACACAGTCTTAATAAATAAATATTATTAATAATCTGTTGTTTTTTTCTCACTTAATTACTAATATTAAGTGAGAAAAAACATCAGATTTTATAAATAAATTTTATTATCTATAACCTTTTTTTTTACCTATTGGGTTTGAATTGACAGCTATGACGTCAGAATATGGCGCCCAGTCGGTCCTATTCTTAGTTGATTCGCGTTATATGGGACATGTACACACCGACCAATAAGGATCAGCTGTATATCGCTAGATAGCACTTCTCATGACTATCATTTGTTCCTATGGGGGCAAGTCTCAATTTGCTGTGAGAAAAAAAAATAACCAAAAACAGAAATGAAAGACTAAATCTAAAGAAAGCATGCTCATTCCCGCTGGCAGCACCTGTTCACGAGCATGACGCATGAACCAGCCATCGCTTCTTTCAACACAATAATTTAGGGAACGCAACGACCGGCCGCATAAAACAGTCTTTCATAATTATTATACTTTTTAAGCATTTATCTGCTAGATGTAAAATTTAAAGAATATTTTACTAGATAAAATTCCACGCGGACCAAGCAGTAGACAGGACTCGAACCCGCACCCCCCGCTATACGGGCTGAGGCACTCCACAGTGCATAGTGGCTGGATTTTTATCCTAGTCAATTTCTTTTTAGATTTAACATCTAACAAATGCTTAAAAAACCACTACAATTGCTATTTCTTTTTTCAAAAGTTTAATATTTGGTATTCATTTGACATTGTGGGTTACCTACAATGCAAAGAGAAGGCGCGTAGAATTATTAGAAGAAATTCAATACGGCTATTAGGGCCTTGGCAGTGTAATGGTCAGTGCCTCCGCCCGGATAGTGGAAAATGCAGGATCGAGTCCCATTTGCTGCCTGGTTCGCGTTGAATTTTTACAAGTAAATTTTTCTTCATTTAACATACCTATAGCATATTTGTTTCTTAGGTTTTCACGCACATCACTCATTAAATAAAACTAGTTTTTACAGGTTAATGTACTAAATTTATTTATTTATTGACGCTTCGCAGCCTTTTCAGCTCTGCATCGTCAGAATAAATATTAAATTGAAAATATTCTGACGATGCAGACCAGAAGAGCCAGCGAAACGTTTAGTACATTAACCCGTAAAAACTAATTTTATACCTATAGTTAAATGCTAAATAAAAATTATAAATAAATAAATAAATATTTCCGACACTCACACCAATTAGCCTAGCCCCAAAGTAAGCACTATAAGGCTTGTGTTATGGGATGCTAGGGTAACGGATAGAATACATATACAAGTATATTTATATAAATACATATTAAACATCCATGACTGGAGTACAAATGCTCGTATTCATCACAAAAACATCTGCCCCCACCGGGATTCGAACCCGGGACCTCTCGAGTCGGCGACAGCCTTGAAACCCGGCGTACAAACCACTCGGCCACGGAGGTCGTCGTTATAATAACAAGGAAAGACTATTATATTATAAATTTAATTTGACTATAAATATTTTTCTACAGCAATTTCAGACTACCTCCCATAGTAATGAATAATATTGGTGAAAGAAGCTTTTCGATTGACATAAGTCTGTCCGTCTGTCTCGTCATTATTAATCGGTGGGCACATTTTCTTCCTCCTTTGTAGTCATGGAAGATCCGTAAAATAAATAGCAAAGTGTCCATAGAGCAAATCTAGTCTAGTTCTATAAACAGTTTGAGCTGCAAAGACGACATCAGCATCACCATATTATAATATACTCGAATTTTCACACAACCATTAAGTCAACATCCTTTCTTTTTCAGTTCAAAGCAACGGATCAGAAATTATATGGCACATTATTCTCTAACAAAGACTACTGAAACATGTTTCGAGACCATAGAGGTATAAGAATAGAGTGGGGATGGCGGCTCTAAGTGTCCGACTAGTAGAAAGAGAAAGAAGATGAGAGACGGCTAGCAAAATCCCTCTCTTGTGACGCATGCCATCCAATGGCATCACATCGAAATATCGCACGTCACAAACAATAGGGTATTAAGTCGGCAAAACCATTTATTTTGTGGAGTTTACTCCTTAAGAATAGATTTGCATATATAAGGGGCCCGGTATGAGAAAAATGTGAGGAGTGAAATCTATTGATGAATGACCTCGTTACGTTTTTGGTGCGCATCCTATGTCGCGCAACTTTGACAAACAAAGATGACGGATTGACATTAATAAAAATTTTAAAATCTGAACTGAATTTAGATATTGTTTCTGATAGAGCAATGGGGACAACGAGGTATGTAGGTATTTTCAAGATTCGTGAACCACGTATCTACGAACGTCCATGTGTCTTATTATAGTTACCATAAACCACTTGTCACTGTAATTAATAATGCTGACAATGTTGATTTAATTAATATTTAAAAAAATGATAATAGTCTGATAATAATAATTACATAATTTAACAACATTCCTAATGATATATTTATGCACATCTGAAATTGACTATTGTAAAAATAAAAAGTTTAATGTAAAATATTTCGTCGATTAGTTATAATAAATGTATATGAAATGAATAAATATATATTTATTTAAGTATATTATTTTCATTAATTTGTTTTCTTAAATTATCAACCTTTTTTAAGTTAAATAAACTCTTTTTGCGTCTGGTTAGACTATCGAACTTAAGGAGTAAACTCCAGTCGTGCGTCGGAGCTGACACACACAATTTTTTTTATTAACGTTTCGAAAACTACATTCTTTTCTCTATAAACTGGTAAGATAATTGTATTTTAATTCGAAATAATCTTTGAATTATAGCAACACATGTCGTCAATTTCTAGGCAAAATTTATGATTGTGAGTATTCTAAACAGTATTAAGTTAAGTTAATACCCTATTGCCAGTTCGGATTAATACAAGTTTGAAGTTTTATTTAAAATAATACCCTCCGGCCTGTTCAATTTTATTTAATGTGTTATTTTCATCGAAATTATTTTAAAATGATACTAGTTGTAATTCGAACATGAGCCATTTGAACTGCTTATAGGGTAATCTCTTTACCCAGTTACATAAAAGTACTTTTAAAATAAAAACTACTATTGATACACTAACTAACCTTACTCAACACAAAGAAGGATAATGTACGTTTAAATCAAAACATTTGAACAAGTAGTTCCGCTTCTATGATTGTTTAAAACTTCAAAACGCGATATCTCAAAACACTGTTTTTGAAGATAATACCCTTTTGTTTGTGACATGCGATACAGTTAGATGCTTACGGTTGCCAATGCGCAAACGCAATAAGAGAAAGAAAGCTAGCGGTGTCTCCTCTTCTTTCTCTTTCTATTAGAGGCACACTTCCACTTGTAGTAGAGTCTGTACCTCCCCTACTCTATTCTTATACCTCTATGTTCCAGACTCGATACTGCTTAATTTTTTTTTAAGTTGATAATCTTGTTCAATGCAAAAATTTTGTAGCGAAGAGACGTTAAAATTTTCTTACTGTTGTTGCTTCAACGTGTTGTTTGCAATTTTAACTGTGGCACCACTTTTCAACGCAGTTCATATTTAATATAATTTCTAATTTGTCGGTTCAAATTTCACAACTTCAGTCAAAGTACTAACTAGAAATTTACAAAAAAAACACTCACGGCACATACTCATCATCATCGTCTTCATCATCATCACTATACTTGTGCTTTCTCATCGTATGCCTCCGTAGATCCGAAGGCTTCTTCGTTCTATAATCACACTTATTACAACAATACTTCTTCCCGTCAACACCTTTGCACAACACTATATGTCTTAACGCTTCCCTCTCTTCGGTGGACTTGTAACTGCACTTATTACACTTATAACTGTTTTTCACATTATGCGACTTGAGATGATACACCAAACTCATTTTGTGCTTCGCTTTGTACGTGCAAAGATGGCACTGATATTTCTTGTAATCTTTATGTTGCTTCTCATGTTTTGCCAATTGGGCCTCCGTTGAAGTCATGAAACCGCACAATTGGCACATTATCAAAACAGGCTTCGCGTGTTCCAATCTATGTCTGTTATATTCACTTTTATTGGTCGTTCTGAAATGGCATTCGACACAGTAATACATACCCCAGACTATAGTATTATCATCCGATTGGTTGGACAACCGCTTTTTCTTCTTAGCTTTTTTCTTTTTAACTAATTTCACTAATGGCATGTCGTCTTCATCGGTTTCATCTGAAACTTCCACGGTGTCGATTTTAGGTTCCTGTATTATGACGTCATCCTCATCGCTTGATGTTAAGAGACTTATTGGCTCTTTCTTTTGCTCTAATTCATCGTCCTCTTCTAAATCGACAGAAATTTCGACTTCAAAATCTTGTTCTTGTATTAAAGTACTAGGGTCAATCTCTACTTGAACACTTTCCATTACCATAAGGCAATCGCCAGCCGATTCTTTGTCAACGGGCAATTCTATATAAACAGGGTCTACATGGCACGGTAAATCAGCATCTTTATTGTCTTTGCCTTTCGGAGCCTTGTCTTCCTTCTCTACGGCTTCAACGTCATCGTCGATGGTATGTATGTTGTTCTGGTATATGTAATAGTCTGTGAGTAACTCTTCTATGTCTTGATGTTCGTCAATAGATTCAGGTGTAGTTTTTTTATTATTATTTGTTGAGGTTTTACTGGACTTCTTGTTTAGTTTTTTACTGCCCACACTCTTTTCTTTATCACTTTTAGCGGCTTCTGTCGATGTTTGTAAAGTTTTAATACTGTCGTCTTCTTTGACATCATTGCTATCACATATATCGCCATTTGTATCTTTTCCATCTTTCCCTGAATCTAGATTTTCAGCTTGTGCACTTTCTCTTGCCTTATATTCGTGTTTATTCTCTTTACTCTCAGTAATTCCGTTTAAATTCGCCTTTTCATTATCCTGCGATGTGACTTTTTTAGAAGTTTCTTCTTGTTCGGCAGACGTTTCTTTAATAGGGGTACTAATTTCACCACCATTGCCGTTTTTAGCAGATTCTTCTAACTCGGATGAATTATCTTCATTGCGATCAGATTTTTCATTCTCTGTCAATTTACTTTTATCAGAATTTGTTTCTATTTCTAACGGCAGGACCTGTTCATCAGTAGATAATTCCACCTCTAATAACTCTTCAATATTAGGGCATATTTCTATTTCTACTGAATTAACTCTATCAGGCGATTTCTCTTTGTTTGAAAATTTATCGTTTTCAAGGGACTGCTTTCTTGTATCATCTTCTAATTGGGCGTCATCGGGAACACTGTTTGTAGTTTGATTCTTATATCCCTGCAAAAAATGGAATAACGTAATTAATTAAATTAATATTGTTTGAATCATCTATACAACTATTACCAAAGTGATAGGACTTTTACTGTCTCGGGAATATTAGAGGCTTCGGACTTCTGTTTTTCGTTAGTTGTTAATCCAGCATCAAACGATTCAAGACTCAATCAAGAAAAATTAATTCAAGGGACTAATTTTAATGCAAACAGGTTAATATGGTTGGAGAGGATAAGTTTTAAACTGAGATACCAGTGTGTAGAAAAACAGCTGGTTACGACACAGAAAATATACCATTTACACACATTTGGTTTACACACAAGGTTGTATACATCAGGGCTTGAAACCGGTTTCGAAAATACCGGTAATTAAAGGTTAATACCGGTTTTTAGTAAAGGTTTCGTTCGGAGCGCGCCCGAAATGAAAGCGGTACCTAAAACCTTAATAAACCGGTTTAATCCAGAGCGACACGTGCACGCGTCGGCATCGCTTGAAGTTTGCTTTGTTTGAACTAATCAAGTCACAACTTGTTAATGCTCAGAGATTGATGCATTTATTGTCACGTTTGCTAGCGTCTAGTGAGTCAAGTTATTCATTTATTATCGATGCTGTCAGTAAGAGCGAAATGAAACCCTATTAAAACCGCTAAATTGATTCAAAACCTATTTGATTTCGCGTTTTAGGAAAATCTGTTTTTTTTAAGGTTAAGGTAGAGCCAAACTTAAATAAAATGCTCCTAATGTACTTACACTGATTTAGTTTTGAAAATTAACCGGTAAACAAGCCCTGGTATACATTGTTCGAAAGTTCGAAATTACGGGCTATACAACGAAGCGTGCGGTTCAACATTTTACCGCACGCGCCCATACATGGCGCCTGGCGTATCCTTTACAGTTTTTGAAGTTATACTTCTTTAGGCGCGTTATGAAAAAATGATGAGAGTGAAATTTTAAGATGCGCGCGCATCACTGTAACACAAAATTTTAACAGCATGAAGTTGGTCGCTAAAGCGACCAACTTCATGCTGTTACTTTTGTGTTTACCGCACATTAAGAAAATCTAAATAGAAATAGATGTCGCTAAAGCGACCAACTTCATGCTGTTACTTTTGTGTTTACCGCACATTAAGAAAATCTAAATAGAAATAGAATTTCTATTTAGTGGGTGCTAACGACTGCATTGTGAAGGCCTATCAAAAGTATTTATTAATCTGGAACAACGGAACCAAAGCGCGATTCAGGAGACTACAGCGCCATCTCTTGACCATTGGTGTAGTAGAACCAAAAACCACATCTTTATTTTTTGTAATAAAGTAACAGTTATAGGTATTCATATTTATAATATTTATCCACATGTTTCTAGTTTGTATATTCGGAATACGTGTTTGAGTTTCATACAAGTGCAAATCACATATGTTCTAATAAATTATATTCAGTAGCGATTTTAACTGAATATTTTGATTATTTATTTATTTTTTCAAATTAAAACTGAACTTTATTGACTGTGTCCTTTTCCAGACTTTTTATTAATTTATTGTAATTAATTATTTGCATGCAATTAAAAACTAATTTTAAACGATGCCAAAGAAGGATAACTTCTCACGCGCCTACATAAGTACACGCACCCATTTTTTTTTATCTCCATCGAACCTAATTAGAATCGCTTATAATCTATACTTTATATAGATAAATATACATAATTTTATTAAAAACTCACAACAAAGATAAATAGTTTTCTTATCTATTGTCATGTGACCAGAAACGCTTGGGATTGGAGAAGACTAAAATGACGTCACACGCTAGTAAACTTTCAGCCAATACGACATTACATTGTATCGTTTGACGTTTTTAATGACGATCCTGTGACGTCACTTACTAGTAAGAGGTCAAGGTGTCCAGAGAAGCGTTTTCGCGGCAACTTCAAAATGATAAATATTTCCAACACTCACACCAATTAGCCTAGCCTAAAAGTAAGGCCGTATACAGAAAGAAAGCCGAAAGCCGATCGGCGCTTATCGGCGCCTGCCGGCGCCGATCCTTCCTACATAAAGGAAGCCGGTTAAAGCAGATCAAGCAAAATGTCGGACTCATCGGACGATGATTTGGTTTTGTTAGAAAATATTTATTTAAAAATGCGAAAAACAGCTATACATCCTATAAATAGAGAAAGGAAACGTTTCGCAGAATACCATCATTTATTTGTAAAAAAAAATAAATTTGATGAACAAAGATTTTATACATATACAAGAATGATTCAAGAAACATTTTATTACATTTTGGATTTAGTGAAAAACCGTTTGATGAAAAATTGGGGCAATTGGCATAAACAACCAATCCTTCCAGAAGAAAGACTTGTTGTAACCATTCGGTAAGTACGAAACAAATAATTTTAGCGCTTAGTTAATAAAAGATAAAGTTATTAGATTTATAAAAAGATTATAACTTAGATTGATTTAATCTAAGGATAATAATTCAAATACAAATTATTTATTATTCGGACCAGCGCGTGTCGGCGCTTATCGGCGCCGGTCCATAGAAAAAGGATCAGCGTCAATAGGCGCCGATAAGCGCCGATCGGCTTTCGGCTTTCTTTCTGTATACGGCCTAAGCACTGTAAGGCTTGTGTTATGGGATACTAGGGTAACGGATAGAATACATATATTGTACATATAAAAGTAGGTAAATTTATATAGAACATCCATGACTGGAGCACAAATGGTCGTATTCATCACACAAACATCTGCCCCCACTGGAATTCGAACCGGGGACCTTTCCAGTCGGCGACACCATGAAACCCGGCGTACAAACCACTCGGCCACGGAGGTCGTCAATCATCGTCGTCAGATGATGATCGAATGATGAATATCCACTTTTTCGGACTCTACAAACATCAGTAAATAAAGTGCCATCTCTTATCTATTAGACAAGTCCGTCTGTCCGTGGTGCTGTTTCAGCGGCCAAACCGTAAGAGATAGATAAAGATAATATTTAAGTTATAAGTTAAGAATAGTCTGATAAGACTACAAACCGGATTTGAGTAACGTAGCACTTCCGGTTTTCGAGAAATCAGGTTTTGGTGAACATTTGGTTCACTGCTTTGCTAGTTGTTTTCTAATCTAAAACTTTTCCAACCCCAATGTTTGGTATAGCTAAATTAAACCACGTTTCTCACCAAAATCACTATATTTAAAACTGAAGAAAATATAACTAGAAAAAATTCCACGCGGACCAGGCAGCAGACGGGACTCGAACCCGCACCCTTCGCAATCCGGGCGAATGCACTAACCAATTATGCTACCGCGGCCCTTACGGACCGCGTCGAAATTCTTCTAGCCATTCTTAAGCTGCAAGGCAATTTTAATAATTAGTCATTGAGCCCGGATTGCGAAGGGTGCGGGTTCGAGTCCCGTCTGCTGCTTTCTAGTTATATTTTCTTTAGATTTAAACATGAAGCAGTTACTTGCTTTAAAAAATAATAAATAATTATCACTATATTTATTGTATGAGATGATAATAATTAATATACACACTTTTTTGTGTGTTAATATAAAGTTAATCTAATTTAAATCAATAATAATGTGGGAGACAGTGTTGCCAGGTCCGATCAGTAACGAATGTGTTTCTGTGGCTTCTGCCGCCCCTCAAAGCTATTTTTTCTTTAGACAATTACATTTATTTTGTAATTATTAAGGTTATCTACATTATTAATGACGAAAAATGCAATTTAAAAAAGATAATCGTTTTCTAAAAAAACAGGAGATTCATGTAGAAAAACAGTAGAACAGGAGAAATTTCAGAAAAACAGGAGATCTCCTGTAAAATCTGGAGACCTGGCAACACTGGTGGGAGATCACTTGACGCGGTTCACAAACACAGCCGGAAGAGAGCGAGAGAGGTGATGCAAAAATGAGACAAAGGATTTAGTATGTCAAATACTAAACACCCAATACCCAATAGGGTATATGTTGGCACTTTCTTTTTAATACTGTCAAATCAAATCAGAAATCAATATATCTTATGTTTTTATTTATTTTTAAGCATTTAACTGCTAGACGGTTAAATCTAGAGAAAAGTATTTTTTTTTTCTAATTTTTTTTCTAATAGCAGTTAAATGCTTAAAAATGAATAAAAACATAACTATAATTGCTATTTCTTCTTTCAAATGTTTAATACTTGAAAAAGTATTCATTTGACATTGTCGGTTACTTACAATGCGAAGAGATGGCGCTGCCTTGCAGCTTAAGGCTAGGAAAATTACGACGCGGCCAATAGGGCCGCGGTTGCATAATGGTCAGTGCATTCGCCCGGATTGCATTGCGGGTTCGAGTCCCGTCCGCTGCCTGGTCCGCGTGGATTTTTTTCTAGTAAACTTTTCTTTAGATTCAATATATCTTTATTCAAATTGGATGTATAGTACAACACTTTTGAATCGTCCAAACATTTTTTTTCCCTACCACTCGTTATTGGACATATTTTTTAGCTGCGAAAAAAACTCTACAACATTAAAAGCATAATGTAACAACATTTACAAATCATTATATTTGACATTATCTGTTCTTAGTTGACATTAGATATGATATTATTAATTGTTTTATTGATTTGACATTTTTAACTATTTTATTATAAATTTAATTAACTTTTACAATGGGTGATTAGACTTTGTTTCTATTAAGTACTATTTGACATTGATATTTGACATTACCTAACTATTTAACTATTTGGCATTACTGTTTTTTTTGTTGTTATAATTATCATTATTTGATTATCTCTTTTTCTTAAATTTATTGAATTTAATGAATACCTTCTATGATTGTTAATATTTTGTATGTATGGCCTGCCGGCGTTTTGGATTATTCTGTAAGCCTGCATGTTTAAATTGAATAGATAAATGTTGTTACAACGTCAATACGTTGTAACAACATTTACATTATCATTTTATATTGTTTTGTAGTTAATTACACCGCCGTCTCTCCAGCTTCTTTCCTGTCCTCTCCATCCTAAGGTTGTCTGGAAGAGATCGCTCTTAGCGATAAGACCGCCCATTATTACACTGTATTCTTTAATTATGTACTTCATGTTTTATGTTTTCTGTGGTGTAAAAATAAAGAGTTTTGTATTGTATTGTATTGTATGATGATGACTCACCGCGACTAGGAAAACGCTCGGCACCACAGCCTCCTTGAGCCTGGTTTTGCCTCTCACGAGCTGCAACTCGGAAGTCAGAAAATGACGGCTGCACACAGAATCCCCTTCGCTCTTAGGACCGATCGCTTTAATAGCATCCTCCCATTTGCGACGCAGCTTGCGGCTAGCAGGAAACCTAATGAAGATTTTATTATATTTATCTATACTTATAATAAATCTGTAGAGAGGTCAATTCTGTACATGAAATATATTTTCAAAATAACTATCAGGGGGTGATTAGTGATCGATACTGATGCCAAAAATGCAATCGGTAAATTTTTTGTCTGTCTGTCTGTCTGTATGTTCCTTATAGAAACAAAAACAACTCGACGGATTTTAACGAAACTTGGTACAATTATTCTTCAAACTCCTGGGCAGGTTATAGTATACTTTTCATCACGCTACAATCAATAGCAGCAGAGTAGTGAAGGGAAATGTTGGGAAAACGGGAGAAGTTACTCCATTTTTTAAGCTTCCGTCGCGGGTGCAGCCTTAATGGTTAAAGTTACATAGAAATCATGTATGACGGAAATATTCTACATAAAATTGTCTAAAAAATATCCCGCAACAGCATATGTCTATCTTTTATGGTTGATTCACAATAACACGTGTAATTATATAAATAAAGTCATTATTTATAGGACAAGCCCGAGAACAAAAACTATAGTTTACAGCTCTACACCGAAGCGAAGCGAGGGCGGGCCACTAGTTAAGAATAAATCTCTTCTCAGGTCCATTCAACCTAGCAATATCTGTGTAGTGATGTAACGAATGTCATTTTTCGGCCATTCACATTCGCGAATGCCTGGTACCGACAATCGCGAATGCGTATATTAAGTTTTTTTTTTTAATTGGCGCCAATTGTCTATGGCATGGTGGCTCTCTCGAAGTCAAGTCTCGTTCGAATTGCCGAGTTGATATGAACTCATCCGACTGAAGTGTCATTCCGCTCGCGCCGGTCTTTCCGTTAACAAAACAAGTGAATTTTGAGGTTAGTGATTGTGAGTGGTAATAGTGATTTATTAACATGAGTAAATCGAATTCTAGTGAAACACGGACTTATATCACACTTTGCGATGCTGAACGAGCTAAATGCAAGCTGTGTAACAATGAATATTCAAGGAAAGGCAGAACTACAACTTCTTCAAATTGTTTTTTTCTAATATTCATATTCGCAAAACATTCGCAGAGATTTTGCGAATGCGAACATTCAAAAATATGCGAATATTCGCGAATGCGAATGCAAATATTCGTTACATCACTAGCATATAATCTAAACAAGTACAACCATACATTAGCAATGAGCAACACGGATTTAGGCCAGGAAGATCTGTTAATTCTAAGGCTGAGCGCAGATTAGAGTCACGACAGTCTCAAGACAGACTATTGCTTAACAAAAATTATGAAGATGCGCACATTCGAAACGAGACGTCTCATAGACAATAAAGTCTTATGTACACAAGAACTGCAAAGCGACAAGTCTGACTAACGACTGTCCGCTTCCCTTTGTAATGTATGCGAGGGCGCACACCAACGACAAGATTGTCTAGCGATTAGGGATGATAATCGATACTGAAAGAAAGTATAATACATACGATAAAATAAGTAATACGTGGGGCCATAAATTTTGACAAATTATCAAAGATAGATTGATACATTCATTCGAAATTACTGGTAAAACTTTCTGGGCTGGTGCCTTAATTTCTATATAATAAATAATCGGTGAAATCTAATCTGATACTGATGAAAATGGTGTGTGTCGCATCGTAGACAAAACAGTTTCGTCTTGGTGTGCGCCTTGTGGTAGACACAACTGTTTCTTTTTAATTGTAAAGCTGTCTCGTCTATGTAAGACAAGACTGTCTAACAACTGTCGTGACTAATCTGCGCTCAGCCTAACCTGTTGGCATTGGTTGAGTACATTTCTCAAAATATGGACAGAGGCAAGCAAGTGGATGTTTTGTACTTTAATTATCACAGGGCGTTCGATAGAGTCAATAGCCGAATCCTTCTATCCGTTGCGTAGTTTTAAAGATTTAAGCATACAAAGAGACATAGGGACATAGGGACAGAGAAAGCGACTTTGTTTTATACTATGTAGTGATGAGCAGCACGGATTTAGGCCGGGAAGATTTGTTAATTCTAGCCTGTTGGCATTGGTTGAGTACATTTCTCAAAATATGGACAGAGGCAAGCAAGTGGATGTTTTGTACTTTAATTATCACAGGGCGTTCGATAGAGTCAATAGCTGAATCCTTCTACCAAAGCTTGATGCTATGGGTTTCTGATAACCTATCTATTAGACAAGTCCGTCCGTCCGTCCGTCCGTCTGTCTGTGGTGCTGTTTCAGCGGCCAAACCGTAAGAGATAGATAAAGAGAATATTTAAGTTATAAGTGAAGAATAGTCTGATAAGACTACAAACCGGATTTGAGTAACGTAGCACTTCCGGTTTTCGAGAAATCACGAATTTCAAATGAAACCACACAATAGTTATTTATTATACAAGAGTGGAAAGTTCCTTTTTAACCGCGTGCTCGATTTGGATGACCGAGCAAGCGAAGGATTCTAAAGTTGAATCACGAGCGCAGCGAGTGATTCTAAATTAGAATCCTGAGCGTCAGCGAGGGAAACAAACGAGCACAAGGTGAAAAATCTTTCCACTCGAGTGCAATACGTAACTTTTCATCCCACCTCAGCGAGGAAATGACAAAATGAAAAAGAAAACAATTTATAATGACAAAATATTTAAGCAATAAAACGTGAAAAACTAGAATGGCGCGAAGCACGCAAATAAAACAAAGAAACCAAGAAGGTTCCAAATTTAAATTTTTTCACAATTTAAAAAGTTCTAATCATAAATTTGGCACCATAGAGGTTACATTAAATAGGTTTAATGACGTTTTGAATTTACAATTATATTGAGTACTCATTATATGTGATGTTCTAAATTCAAATCTACTTTGCCGCTCAAGCGAATAAAATAGAATTTTCCAGCCAGATTTCGAAGCGCAAAATTACACTTTCCGAGGTGGTGGGATGAAAAATCAATTAATTTAATACATTTATTTTTTTCTTTTTTAGTTCAGGTTTTGGTGAACATTTGGTTCACTGGTTTGCTAGTATAATCTAAGCAAGTACAACCATACATTAGCAACTAGTGGTCCGCCCTCGCTTCGCCTCGGTGTAGAGCTGTAGTTTAGATTATATCTTTGTTCTCAGGTTTCTATTAAACACAATGACTTTCTTTAAATACCTAATTACTAAAGACACGCGCCGCCGCCGGCCCCCCGGCCAGTACTGCCCGAACCGGTATGTTCCTGCATTTTAAATCTGTAATATCTTCGAAAATATTCATTTAAATTACATGCTGTAAAGGGCCATATTGCTCTATATTACACGCACAATGTATTTAAGGTACTAAATTGGATAAGGATTAATGCTGTATTGCTTAAAATCGCTTTTTCGTAAATAAGTCATTATTTTCTCGTAATAAGTAATTAAAAAATGGTTATTGTGGGTTATCCCTAAGAGATAGGCATATACCATCGCGGACTTTTTTGTAGACCTTTTTAAGGTGTACAATACTGTAGTACATTATTTTGATCTATCTCGTAGGGTTCAGCCAGCGTTTGCAATGTAAGCGCAAAAAAATGTGTTTATTTACGACCTTAGATTAAAAACCTCTAAAATTATCAGTGTTTCTCTACTACATTATGCATGTATTATACATATAAAGCTTCCTCTTGAATCACTCTATCTATTAAAAACCGCATCAAAATCCGTTGCGTAGTTTTAAAGATTTAAGCATACAAAGAGACATAGGGACATAGGGACAGAGAAAGCGACTTTGTTTTATACTATGTAGTGATGAGCAGCACGGATTTAGGCCGGGAAGATTTGTTAATTCTAGCCTGTTGACATTGGTTGAGTACATTTCTCAAAATATGGACAGAGGCAAGCAAGTGAATGTTTTGTAATTTTCGCAGGGCGTTCGATAGAGTCAATAGCCGAATCCTTCTACCAATGCTATGGGTTTCTCATATCCTATCTATTAGACAAGTACGTCCGTCCGTCCGTCCGTCTGTCTGTGGTGCTGTTTCAGCGGCCAAACCGTAAGAGATAGATAAAGAGAATATTTAAGTTATAAGTTAAGAATAGTCTGATAAGACTACAAACCGGATTTGAGTAACGTAGCACTTCCGGTTTACGAGAAATCACGAATTTCAAACGAAACCACACAAAATCTCCGAAGTTCTCAATTAATTAAATACATTTTTTTTTTAAATCAGGTTTTGGTGAACATTTGGTTCACTGGTTTGCTAGTATAAACTCATTCGTTTGCTTTGCGACTACCTCATGGACCGACATTCATACTATGCGATTCAAATAAGAATAGGAAAGCCAGTGATGTCGATTCTGGCATGTTTCTCTAAATCTAAACTTAAATTTGACAACAGTGTATCCTTGTCATTCTCTATACGCAATGAAAAGGAGAGACTGATGTTAAATTTAGTTTTAAGTTTAGAGAATCACGCCAGAATCGACACCAATGACTTCCATTTCTGAAATGTCGTTCGAAAAGTACGGTTTGCAAAAGAATCTTGGAACACTTTTTTTAGCACTGAGCTAATCTTAGAATATATACCAAATATTTGTAAACAAAATAAGGAAATAAATCATATGTCATCATCATCAGCCTATTAATCTACCCACTGGTGGGGCACAGGCCTTCCCTATGGATGGAATAGGGAGATTGGGCCATGACCCACCACACGGGCCCAGTGCGGATTGGCGGGTGCTAACGACTGCAGATGCAGCCGGGACCAACGGCTTAACGTGCCTTCCGAACCACGGAGGAACTCGAGATAGAAGATTTTGATCACCCATCCAATGACCGACCACTGCGAAAGATGCTTAACTTCAACGATCGCAGCCGAACGCGCTAGCCACCTCCGCCATCGAGCTCCTCAAATCACATGTAACGTATAGAAAATGAGAAGTGGAAAAGGAAAGTATAAGAACTTTAAAAACAGCCCCACGGACGGACGGACTTGTCTAATAGATAAGAGATACATAGTGTTGCTGATCCAACCTATCAGCCTTTTTAGATATATTTATGTATTTTTTTTTAATATTCGTGTTTTTTGACATTGATGTATTTTTTGATAATATATTGTTTTTTTGCTCTTGGTGTCATGAAGACGTGTTTTCCTTCTCTCCCGTTTTCTTCCCTTTGATTCCCGTTAAAATTAGAGCTATCGATAACACATAGAATCCTCAATTTTTCCAATTCAGGAGATGATTATGTACCTGTGTTATGTACCAATGACTTCTTAAATGATTATATAACAGAAATGAAAATATGAATATATATGTAATCAATCGATTTTAATTTTTCATTTTACCAATTATTTCTCTATGACAAAATACATTATTTAAGTATTCGGTTTTCGGCCGAATAATATGTAGATATTAGGTATTCGGCCGAATATAATAAAAGCAACCGAATAGGCCGAATACCGAATATTCGTTGCAAGTCTAATTTGTAGTATTAAAAATCTGATATTTTTCTCACTTAATCTTGGTAAATAAGTTTTATTAAAGAAAAACTTTTTTGCTCACTCTACGTAACTGGTTTAAATTGACAGCTGCGACGTCACAATATGGCGCCCAGTCGGTCCTATTCTTAGTTGAATCGCATTATACCCTCCTACGGACGTAGGACGACGACGACCTACGTATATTGACTTAGGCTTAGATTTTGCATGCTACAATAATTTAGCAAAACATGTGCACCTCATTATACGTATTGTAAGATCTTTCCATGCCATGTTTTGACCAACTAAAGGTATTATTAATAATAATAATAAGATATAGCAATTATAGTTATATTTTTAAGCATGTAACAGCTAATTTTTTTTAATGCACAGTGCGAAGAGATGGCGCTACCTTGCAGCTTAATAAATCTTTTTTTTTATAGATAGGTCCGACGAATGACTCCACCCCACCTGGTGTTAAGTGATGGTGAAGTCCAGACGCGAAGATAGCTGGTTCAGCAGTTCTACCTGCTACACCAGCCATCCTCACCTTGCCGGCCTGCATGTTGCTTCTTCACGCCTCTTTTAAAGGATACCAGGTTGTAAGAAGGAGGGAACACGTGAGCGGGCAGAGCATTCCATTTACGGATAGTGCGACTAAGAAATGAGTCACCAAATTTCTTTGTACGCGTTGGAATTGTGGCCACAGTTAGACGGTGACACCGAAGGCCAGCGCGCGTGGTCCTCTGAAGGAAAGGGGAAGGTGGAATAAGAGAGAATAACTCTTCAGAACACTCGCCGTGGTACAGACGATAGAACGCGCTTAGTGATGCTACGTCACGGCGTAATTGAAGAGGCTCGAGGTGTTTAGTCACCTCCTCATCGCCTATGATGCGGATCGCGCGCCGCTGTAACCTATCCAAAGCATCGAGCAAGTACTTGGCGGAGCCATCACAGAGATGCGAGCAATATTCCACGCAGGACCGCACTTGCGTTTTGTACAACAAGCACAGTTGATCGTTGATGAGTTAATAAATACTAGGGAAAATTGCATACGGACAAATAGGGTCGCGGTAGCATAATGTTCAGTGCCACCGCTCGGATGGCGGAGCGTGCGGGCTCGTGTCCCGCCTGCTGCCTGGTCCGCGTAGAATATTTTCTAGTAAATTTATCTTTAGAATAGGTGAGTTAATACTCAAACTTCATTTTACTCACTTGAATAAAGTTACTCCCTTTGCCCCTCTGCATCCAGACACGCAACACTTTACCATTGCACAGGCCTCTCTGTAAAGTTAAAATATTATCATCATCGTATTCTTCATCATCATCTCATCATCCTTTTCATGTCCCCACTGCTGGGGCACAGGCCTTCCCTATGGATGGAATAGGGAGATTGGGCCATGACCCACCACGCGGCCCCAGTGCGGATTGGCGGGTGCTAACGACTGCAGATACAGCCGGGACCAACGGCTTAACGTGCCTTCCGAAGCACGGAGGAACTGGAGATAGAAGATTTTTAGTCACCCATCCAATGACCGACCACTGCGAAAGTTGCTTTACTTCAACGATCGCAGCCGAACGCGCTAACCACCGGCGCCATCGAGTTCCTCACAAGTTAAAACAACATATTTAATTCATCGCTGATTGGAGTAGCTCAAAGGCTAACGATTTCATTTAGCAAACTATATATTTAAGTTAGAAAACTTTTGTAATGACAGTAACAAGTCAGAACAGAAGTAACAGAAAATCTCTGCGCTTCTAAAGCAAAATATTATCATTGTCTTAAGCACACAGTGTAGAAACTAATTGGTGCAATCTTAGCTCATTGCTCAGATCCTGGGTTTGAATCCTTGTATGTTCTATTATTTAAAACGGTAAACGTAGTAGAAGTAGACAACACAAACGATGGGAAGACAATCTACTCAAGAGTTGGCGATGAGCAGCCACAGATAGGAACCAATGGGCCAATTTGGAGGAGGCTTATGTCCAAGGACAACCTGATTGTACACGTGCCGATGTCAGCGATTAAACTAAGTTTTAATTTTAAGTTAAGTTGCTTTTAACATGTACAACAGAGAATAAAGGCTATTTTTATTTTATTTATTTATTTTTATTTATGGTCTATTATTTATGTGAGGAACACAAATATTTGTCTTTGGATCAGTCTTCCAGCCCGTATTTCAGCACAAATATGACATGGGTGCGGGAATTTGAGCAATGTCTTTCGTGCAACCGAATATGAGCCAATGACCATATGTAATTCGGCCACCATATAAGTAGGTAATTTTGCCACAGGTATTTTTTGTTCATCTATAGCATGTCGCATTACATTTTTAATAGTTATTTAAATTCTTCTGATCTTGCCAATAAATATAGGTGTAGGGACACCCGGGTTTTTATTTTATTACTTATTAATGATTTTAAAAGATTCACTGGCGCTGCGATTTCTAAAAATAAAATCACACCCTTTTTTTTGTGTGTGAGTGTGTGCGTCTACAAGATTATCGTTGTAAGTGATCTAAAGTTTGTTATCCATTAACATTTGATTGGTATAAAACTCAAAACGATTTGAATGATCGATATGTCTGGGAGTGATCTCCCTATTCCCATCCTTTATTAAAGTTATTTATCACAATACAATATTAAATATTCTCAATCTATGTGACACATAAAAAATGAAATTAATTATAATAATTGTGTTGGTAACAACATATTTTTATGTAAATGACCCTATTATAAATAATAAATAGCTGAGAAAATTCTTTCACCTTTTCTTCTTGTCAGTTATCTGAGAAGACGGATTGAGACGGATGTTTATACATGTCCTGGATAGGTGGTACGAAAAAATACATAAGAACGATTCAAAAGACTTAAAAATATCTCTTAATAACATGAATAAAGTTTATTATATATCAATTTGAAAATTTCTTTTCATTCATTAATTTTATCGTACTTAACCACAAATTTACTTAATGTGAAACATAAGTATAACTTTCATTAATATTCATGTCATATACATTGCTTAAAGTGAATAATAAACTTGAAAATTCAACAATTTCATTCAATTAAATGAATTTGTTAATTATGATAAACACCAAAATTAGTTTACTATGATTGCACTTTAAATTTTTAATACAGCATTTAATAAAACACTATTTAGTTGATTTTAACATAAATTATTTTCATAATTAATTAACAACAACTTGTTCTCAAAAGGCCAACTTAAAAGCTCTTAATGATTTTGATGAAGCATCAGATTAAATTAATTAATTAAATAAACTAATTTAGTCCTTATATTAATTATTATCCATGAACAAAAAAATCATTGTATTCAGTAATCTGTCCTGTGTACATATTCTGAATACCGCACCGGCAAAAATCAACTTTTGTCTTTTCAACCTAATGCCGTAAGACATAAAGCTTATTTTACATTAACAGGGCGATGAAAAAGCGATACAACTTCGAAGCGCAATTACAGAATACACCGGCCGTCTTAATGTATTCAAATATCGATTTTCGACGCTTCATTTCATGAAAAACAGATATTAAATTCTAGAGCATTGTTTACTAACACTTCATAAGAGTTGAAGCGCGCGAAATCTCATTGAAAAGGTTAGAAGTTGGAAAGAAACAAAAACATAAGAAAAATCACTTACATTAGATGATTATTCCTAATAGTTAGCTGTGACTGCGTTTTTTAAGTTCACCATTGTTTGCTTAATATATCTTTAAACAATTTGATCACATAAGCATACTGGTAACAACAAGATTTTTCATATTAGAACCACTGGGAAAAATATTTAGGTACCTATTCCGGCAAGTACTTATTTTAACTTTTTTTGTTGCACATTGCTAGGACAAAAATTTTAGATTCCCACACTTTTAAAATAAAAAATACTGACATTTTTAATTTACTTACTTTGAAGTCTTGTACTTATATGAAATATAAAGCTAAATGTACTTAATTTTATTTTTCTGACAAAAGTCGTGTTCAATATCTAGCGCGTTTCATGGTTATCCTGATTTTTAATAAACGTAAGATAGTCTTTTTTTTTAATTCTTCATTACAAATTATAAAAGTAAAACATAAAATACTCAATACATCGTAAATAATAATATCATAAAAGATTATAAATATTTGTATTTAATATATTTCAATTATCATTACGTTAATAGAGTTCTATCGATATCAATCAATCGATATTTCTACCAACGGCAATAAAAACATAATCAAACGAAAACAACAACAGCGTGAGGTAAACAAAAGGTTATCATTGTGTCAAGAGGCTGTAATAATGCGGAAGTAAAGCCTATTTACTACAAAACGTAACGATGCCAACTAATTACCCCCTAATTTGGGGTAAATTATTATAATGTCAACACTGAACAAATGTCAAATTAAGCCAGATAGTGTTGTCCTTAGACCGAGGGCTGCCAGTCTTTGTTATAAGTCCATCGATTTACGAATTACTTAAATCAACTTATTACTTCAGTGTTTCTCAAATAGCAAAATGAAGCAAGTACCAATTTATTTATGTTTTATAATCGACGTATTTTTCAATATAAGCGTGGGCACTACGGCAGGGCGTAGGCATCTGCAACCAGTTTCAATACTTATTATATTCCTCACTCACTCATTGGGCATAGTCGAGACTTAGAAGGAGGTGAATAGGTACCTATCTAAGTAGTAGTTAATTTTCCCTAACGTCACAGGGCACAGAATTTGCACCATGGTCTCTTTTGTGTCAAAAAATAAAGAATATACTCCCATTGCAGCATCCATGCTCTCACGCCTGCTCGCCAGCTTCGTTTGAAACTTCCACTGTGCAATAAAGGGCAAGGCACGTTAGGCTGTTAGTTAAGACTGCATCTACCTGCAGTTGTTAGCACCTGCTATCCGTACTGAGCCTTTTTCTATCAAATATAATATTTTCGAAACTGTTACCACTATAAATATAGTAGATGGCAAATAATGGAAAAAATATAGTGGTGTCAATTCAGGAATGAATTTCTTAACTTTAAACTTAAGTTTACATCAGTCTCTCCTTTCAATTCTGTATAGAGAATGACAAGGATACGCTGTTGTCAAATTTTAGGTTTAGAGAATCATGTCAGAATCGACGGCACCAATATTTGTTTAAAATATTGCTTTATTTTTAATAGAATGTATGTTTGCTACTCTATTCCTCAATGATTAAATTTTAATTTTCAAGAAAGCTTTTACTGGCTGGTGCTCTAAGAAAAATATAGTAGTTTCGCCTCCTATATTTTTTTTAGAAATATAGTACTTGATCCCCTAATATAGTAGGGTTGGCAATCCTCGCCGCACTCTGGTTGCGGCGCTCGGCGGTGGAGACCTCTCGTTGCCAAGCATGGTAAGAGCCATGCTTGGTAGCGAGCGGGCCTGTGGGCCAATCGCCTAACCAGATTGCTTTGGAAAACGCTATCGCTTACGATTTCATTTTGTTATTTCTAACCGCCGAAATACCTCACGCTCATTTTCTTTAACATTGTTATTACCAATGCAAAAGAAAAAAAAAGAGCGCGAGGCATTTGAAAACCTCAGGGGGCTAGAAATAACAAAATGAAATCGTAAGCGATAGCGTTTTCCAAAGCAATCCAGTTAGGCGATTGGCCCCCTGGAAGGCTGCCGCCTCCTTCTGCGAGTCGGTGATGACGCGGGAGGAGGACGCTCTAGCCGCTCCCCTCCGACGTAGACGGGTGGGCCGAAGAAGGCAGGCAGATCTTCGTCGGCCTTAGGGCCGAAAAAATGGGAACATAATCATTTTTCTAAGCTCAAATTTTTAATAACTGACATTCATTGCCACATAACTCATATTTGCCATAATTAAGGCGAATTGTTACCAACTATTCACAACATTATTTTAATTAGAAATAAACCCGCTTAGTCAACCAACAAGCAATAACATTTGACATTTCGGAGACCTCACGCTACACTAGCGCCTCTAGCGGCTATTCATACGCGATAGCCCTCATTGCAATAGGAGAGGACGTCTTATTCATAATTCCTTATTGTGATATAATTTGTTAAAGTTAAGCAACTTTCGCAGTGGTCGTTCGATGGGTGAATAAATATCTTCTATCTCGTGTTCCTCCTTGCTTCGGAAGGCACGTTAAGCCGTTGTTCTCGGCTGTATCTGCAGTCGTTAGCAACCGCCAATCCGCACTGGGCCCGCGTATTGGGTCATGGCCCAATCTCCCTATTCCATCCATAGGGAAGGCCTGTGCCCCAGCAGTGGGGACATTAATAGGCTGGTACTAAACGAAGTCAAAAATCACTGTTTCTAACAGCGAGGGTGGGTCACTAACAAGTAAATTAATAAAACTAATATGTACAATAATATTTGTAATTCCATAACATAACATTAAATCTGCTTTCTTTGATATTTATAATTATTTCGAATAGACTTCTTAGTATTAGTAATTTTTAGGCTATAAATATTATTTTACATACATTTAACAAAATCAAAAAAAAAAATTAGTTAACAATTTTGTCATTTAAAGAAAAAAAATGAATTTTAAACTTATACAATACATAACTACGGTCATTCTCAGTAGCCGTCACCGCAAAGTGGGGGTAATGGGAATAATTTTTCGAAATATTTCCCAATTGTCCTCACCCGGGACCACTAGGAAAGTGGGTTTTCAAAATAAACTAATTGTATTATTGAAATTTTCTAAATACAAGCTTTGGTGTAGCAGCATATAGCAAGCAGGCAAGCAAGCGCAAATTCATCGAGTTTTAGGTGGAATCTTTTTATTTCAAATACAACGTAAATAAAATACGTAAAATATTGGTGGTGAGAATAATATTTTGGAGATTTTATTTTCACCAAATAACATTAAACGATTAAAAAGCTCATTATTTATGCATGTTATGCAATCAATTAGAAACAGAGAAATATCACTATATTTAAAAAAGATAACATATCAGTAGGTACAATATAATTGCCATTCACATTCCGTACATCAAAAATTTGATCTGGCAATACTGGCAGCCACCTAGCGATTCATTTGTGAAAACTCATTAAATATTACAGCCACACACATAGACTTTAGAGTTTGACTAAAGATGATGCTATCAGTTTCTTAACGATAACGAGGTCCCGGGTTCGAATCCCGGTGGGGGCAAATGTTTGTATGATGAATACGAGCATTTGTACTCCAGTCATGGATGTTTAATATGTATTCCTATATAACTATACTTATATATGTACAGTATATGTATTCTATCCGTTAATCTAGCATCCCGTAACACAAGCCTTACAGTGCTTACTTTGGGGCTAGGCTAATTGGTGTAAATGTTGGAAATATTTATTTTTATTTAACAATAGAAAGAGACAACAAGTCACTTCTTCTTTCTTAATGGTCTCACCAGATGGCGACACAGTTTGTCTAAAAACATAGCTGTGAACGTGGTTAATATGTATACTTTTGTAAAAATAAATGTAAAAAAAATATTACTAGAAAACATTCCAGGCAGACCAGGAGGCTATTCGCCTAACAAAAATGCTGTGGAAAACGCTAACTTTCGATTTTATTTTGTTATTTCTGACCGCCGAAGGTTTTCTAATACCTCAAGCTCATTTTTGAAGTTATACTTCTTTAGGCGCGTTATGAAAAAATGATGATAGTGAAATTTTAAGATGCGCGCGCATCACTGTAACACAAAATTTTAACAGCATGAAGTTGGTCGCTTTAGCGACATGCGTTACACAGTAACATGCGTTACTTTTGTGTTTACCGCACATTAAGAAAATCTATCAACAAAATAGAAATAGAATCTCTGTTTAGTGGGTGCTAACGACTGCATTGTGAAGGCCTATCAAAAGTATTTATTAATCTGGAACAACGGAACCAAAGCGCGATTCAGGAGACTACAGCGCCATCTCTTGACCATTGGTGTAGTAGAACCAAAAACCACATCTTTATTTTTTGTAATAAAGTAACAGTTATAGGTATTCATATTTATAATATTTATCCACATGTTTCTAGTTTGTATATTCGGAATACGTGTTTGAGTTTCATACAAGTGCAAATCACATATGTTCTAATAAATTATATTCAGTAGCGATTTTAATTGAATATTTTGATTATTTATTTATTTTTTCAAATTAAAACTGAACTTTATTGACTATGTCCTTTTCCAGACTTTTTATTAATTTATTGTAATTAATTATTTGCATGCAATTAAAAACTAATTTTAAAAGATGCCAAAGAAGGATAACTTCTCACGCGCGTACATAAGTTACACTCATCCATTTTCTTTTTAATATTTTTATTACCAATGCAAAAGAAAAAAAAGAGCGCGAGGCATTTGAAAACCTCAGGCGGTTAGAAATAATATAATGAAATCGTAAGCGTTAGCGTTTTCCAAAGCATTTCCGTTAGGCGAATGGCCCCCTGGCAGCAGACGGGACTCGGACGCGGGTGTGACCTTCCTCTATTCGGATAAACTGACCATTATGCTACCGCGGCTCTGTAGCCGTGTCTAAATATACTCTAGTATTTTTTACTAGAGTAAATTTAGACACGTTCATCACAGCTGCAAGGCAGCGCCATCTCTTCGCATTATTCCAAAAAAAAGCAGTTAAATGCTTAAATAATAAAAAATATAACAACAATATTTTAGTTATTTTTATTTTTTAAGCATTTAAACTGCTAGATGTTTAAATCTAAAGAAAAGTTTACTAGAAAAAAAATTGTGGGTTGCCTACAACGCGAAGAGATGGCGCTGCCTTGCAGCCTAAGGCTAGGAAAATTACGACGCGGCCAATAGGGCCGTGGTAGCATAATGGTCAGTGCATTCGCCCGGATTG